ACTGTTGCTACTGTCTATACCGCTAATGCTGCTAGCGTTACTGTTTTTGAAGTTAATTTAATAAACTGAAGGGAATAATGGTTCACTAATGCAAAAGTGAATTTAGCTTTTTTTACACAAAAGATCAAAATAAATGAATAATCCGCCTGTAAGTTGTTGTCTTTCATTACCTGTAATAAAAAATTGAAGTGGTGTATAAAACTAACAGTGTTGAAGAAAACTGAGCTGTAACTATTGCTGATGTTTGATTTTACTGCCTTCTTTTTTTACTGCGCAAACAGTTATGCTAATTTCTTAAGTTTTTTTAAACTTAATTTTCCATCCAAAAAAAAAAAAAAGAAAAATGCACCAATTATTCTGCTGGCCAAGCAGATTTGTTGTTGTTGTTAATTAATCTTCGATTTTAACGTGTTTAGTGCAAACAGCGCAAATAAACATAATAAATTTATGCTTTTTTTATTTATCAGAAATCGCCCTGAACAAATAAGACTGCTTGATTCTTTCATCATGTTAAAAAGTGTGGACAGAATACGAGGACGAAAATGCCACCACAAAAGCGATGGTTCTTAAACTTTATTATTGTCGGTTTTACGCCATCAAATTGGCTGTGATAATAGTGTATTAAATGCGTAGGTTGATCAACAACGGTCACACGTTTTCAGCAGTTTTGCAAGACGGTTGAATAGACGTCAGCTAGCTAGAATATTGAATAAAGATGAAAGAAGTTGATGACGACGAAATGATGGCGAAAATGAGGGGTTTTTTTTTTTGTTCGTTCTTTTGAGGTTATAGAGATGGGCAGATAGGTCAGTTTTTAGGCTGAATAATCTGTCAAGTTAAATTGGATTTGAGTTAAACGAAGTTTAAGCGACAATAAGGAAGTGGTTAATACGAAGAAAATGTTTACTGATATTTTGCTTTCTTTCTTATGCCACCCTTTAAGAAAATTGAGAAATTACTCAATAATTAATAAACAAAATAAATTTAGTCTTTTCTTTTAAACACAAATTTTTCATATTTTTTATTCATATTAATCATATATTATGCAAAAAAAAAGAAATAAAATTATATACAGCAACAACAACAAAAAAGCATCTAAACATTGTTGACAACAGCAGACGACTGAGAATGTTGTCGACAACAACTGACGACAAAAGTTTAATAGATTTTTAGCAAATTTAGCACTGCTTCTACAAATATTTATCCAAAAATAGCCGTACATTTTTAATAAATTTTCATTAAAATAAATTTGTCTTCTTTCTTCTCCATCTTTGATTAAGGTTCAGATTTCCTACAAGCCAAAAATATGTCATGCATTTCAATTTACACTTACACTGTCTATATCTGAAGTAATTGGAAGCAGTTGGAACAGTACGACTCCTCCTTTCGTCATTCTTTCTCTCTTCTTTTTGCTTCTTCCTTTACATTTCAATAAAAGCATTGATTGGAACTGGTTGAAAGAAGCAATTTTTTTACCGTAGAAGGACAGACAAATACACACACCCACACAGTACAACATAAATACGGAAGAAGATGAAATATCAACGGCAACAGAACAACAAAAAAAAAAAAAACCAATTTTTTTAGCAGAAGAAAAATTTGACGACAAAAAAAACTTAATGTGGAAACCTATAAAAAAAAAGAACAGTTCAATTTTCATGTAATTTGATGTCTAAATTGCTTAATTGTAGCAACAGCGGCAGCAATTGCTGAACTAATAAAAGCAACGAAAAAAAAAGTGGTAATAGCCGACTTGAAGACAGAATAAAGCTTCTTTTTAAATGTACAATACTATTGCTTAATTTATGAATTTTAAATAAGGATGACTGTGGAAGACAAAAAGTGGAATGTGAAATAAGGATAAAAGACGAGGTGATAATTTGAAATCTTTAAATCTTTTTGTGGTTTTAAAGCACAGAAAATAGAGCATAAATACATAAATCAAGAGGCATTTGTGAATATCCTGTAACTGCTTCTTTCGTTCTGCGAATTTCCTTCTTTTTTTTTGGTTTTTTCCAGAAAAGTAGTTTTAATCTTAAAGCTTATCCGTGCATCAACTATGAATCATTTTCTTCACTGCCATTTCAG